GCCTGTTTTGAAGGGATAGTTGTGGCGGTTAAGGTTCGGTCTCGAAAGAACGTCCCCTCATGTTTTGCCACTTTGGCTTCTTTAGGGGAAGCTAGTGCAAACTCTAAAAAGAACCGTAAGCCCAGCCCACACGACAAAAGCACGATCGTCCTCTTTCTCATCCTCATCCTCAGTTGGTAGTACACGCCGAGGCCTTTAATCATCGCGCTAATTGTTTGGCTCGCGCAGAAGAGCCGACGGGAAATGGCTGTTAAGTGCAATGGAGGACGTTTTATCCAAACACATTTCAAGTGCTTCCCCAAAGGCACTCGAGAATCGCCCCTTCAGAAATCATGGCCGTGGATTGCCGAAGAACACGGCTCCCTCTACAGGTGTGCGGCGTCATTACAAGTCGGTCGGTGTGCTTGTCAAATCACACGCGGAACGAAATGATTGTTGGCGTGCGTTCAGGCCTTTTTTTTCGTGCGGGGAAGGGGGAAGAGACGGAGACTCGTGTCAAAAGAGCAGAAAAAGCAGCACCTTCAAGTGCTGGGAGGCCTACGGCGTGGCGCGGAATGATGACGTCATTCGAAGCGGGACTCCGAGAGGGCGTGTGCGTCGAGTCAGACGGCACGGCAACTTGGCGGCGGCTCATGAATATTCATCGGCTATCGGCGGGGTGACGACCTCAAGACGGGGGCGCATCCGCCAAAATGCTCATCGCGTTACGTTCCGCGCTCTGCGCCCCAAAGAGCGCCTTTGCTCCGACGGCCTTGAATGACGTCAGCACTCTGTCAAGGAAGATCGCGGATGCGAAGAGTTCGCACGTTAAGGAGGACGACCGTCACGATGCCGCCATTCCTATCTGCCAATGTTCCCCTTCAAATGTTTTATCCGCAACAAATGTGACATTTTCACGTTTCACTATAAACGAGCAAATAATTCAACCTTCACATTTGATGGAAAAATATCACACTCAAAACAAAACAGTCGACAAAAATAAATATTTTGAAAAACATTGAAACCTTGGTTGAAAACCAGTTTGACACCCTAACCCTAATTCGAAACCTTAACCCTCATTTCAAACTCTTTCCTTACTTTAAAACTCTAATCCTAGTTTGAAACCCTACTTCCAAATACTAACTGTAATTTTAAAACCCTACCATGAAACCCTAAGCCTAGTTTAAAGCCCTATTTCCAGACTCTAACCTTAATATGAAAGCCTCAGTCAAATTTTTAAACCCTACTTCTGAACCCTAACCCGAGTTTGAAACCTCATTTGAAAACCTAACCTTAGTTTTAAACCCTTACCCTAGCTTTAAACACTAGTTTGAAGCTCTACTTCCCAATGCGAACCCTAGTTAAAACCCAACTTCCTAACCCTAACCTGAATTTGAAATCCTAACCCTAGTTTGAAACAAATTTTTGTTTCAAACATTAACCCTAAATTGAAACCCCAATTTGAAACCCCAATCCTAGTTTGAAACCCTAACCTTTGTTCAAAACCGTAAGCCTAGTTTTAAACCCTTCTTTGAAACCCTAACCATAGTTTTAAACCGTAATTTGAAACCCTAACCCTGGTGGAAACCCTTAGCCTAGTTTTCAAACTTAATTTGAACCCCTAAACCTAGTTCCAAGCCCTAAACCTAGTTTGAAACCTACTTTGCTACCCTAACCCTAGTTTGAAATGCTATTTCCAAGCCCTAACCTTAATTTGAATCCCCAACTCTAGTTTGAATGAAAATATTGTTACCCCGATCATAATTTGAAACCCTCGCCCGAGTTTGAAACATTAGCCCCAATTTGTAACCCTACTTCTGAGTGGAAATCCAAACAGATTTGTTTCTTGCTGTTGCTTTCAAGCGAATTATAAATCCAAAACGCAAAAAGAAGAGAGAGCGACTCGACCCCGGAACCGGATTCCTTTTATTGACCCCGTCCTTGCTCCAGCGCATCTCCCGCAATAAAAAGACCCGCAAGACAAACAGAGGTTTCTTCAACTTCTGACCTCGGGGGAGAATCCCCTCCCCGCCCCACCCACATAGAAAAAGCAGTAATTGCAAAGCGTGGGGAAAAAAGTCAGCCGACGACGGTCTGCCGCCCGAACAGATCGATGGTCAGTGTGGCTGTGAACACGGGGATGCTGTTCTGGTGGTGCAGGTGCAGCTCCACCAGATCGCCCAGCGTCCGCGAGAAGGCCGTCTCCATCAGCTCCATGCTTCCCGACGGACCCTAAACAAACAAACAAAAAAAGACACGCACGCAAGGCCCTCGGTCATTTCCTTTCAGCTATCAGACACCAATAAACTTTTTTTCTGAAGGCGATTCCGCTTGAGAAGCTTCGTGCTGCGTCGCAACCGGGTCTAGATCGGCTTCGTTACTTTGGCTGTGTTTTAGCTTCTCCAAAAAGCTTGCTTTAGTTTTAGTTGGAGTCTTTTTTTCGGCTATTTCGACATGGTATATATTAGTTGTGTGCAATAAATTTTTTTTTTTTTTTAAATCACCCAACGCTCTGAAGACACCCTTTTGTTTTTGGGGATTTGCAGTTTTATAAGGTCAGAAATCATTGCCTTAAAAAAAAAGAATAACATTTGTATATTTTGGAATCAGAAAAGTCAAATTGGTTTTCAATTCAAATCCAATGAAAATAATGCTTGTCTATTTGGAGTTACATTTCATTCGGATCGATTTGTTGGCACAAAAGCCATTGGCGCGATATCAAAATAGCATCCCACTCGATTGCATTGAACGTAAAAGAAAAAGATTGATCGGCCTCATATCGCTATGTTTCGCATTGGTAAAAAAAAAAAAGTAAAAATGTATCGCTGCACCCCTGATGTACATGCACAAAATTTATATCTACACTATCAAGCAGACACAAAGTAAAAGAATTCAAGCGGCATCACTTTGTCAGGTTGCCGGCATCTCCTGAGAGAATCGGCAAGATGGCGCGTGTGTGTGCGCGCGCGGGCGCAAATCTGTGTGGATTAATTAGACGCTGCAGCTCGAGGCGACGGCGTGGAGGAGAAAGCCATGAGGGAACCGAAGGATGGAGTAATTAAAACATGGAGTCAAGGAAGGAAGGAAAACGTGGGGGGGGGGTGCCCGGGGCACGCTGGGAACTCACGCCGACGTCTTCTTCATATTAGCTCAACGTTGGCACGACGACGGAGAAAGTCTTCGCTCTTTACGTGAGTGACTGCCGAAAGTCGACGTACGGGCGATTGCCGTGATTTCTGAGGCGTGGGGGTTGGGGGCAGCGCTACGGAGGCCGACCGGCGTATCGCGGAGACGATGCTGTGCGGTTACCATGGCGACCACAGTTTGCCCTCCCGGCAAACGTCAAGTCACGAGGGAAACGGCGGCGCGGGTTTCCGATCTATTTCAATCGCGACCGCGTCAGGCCGACGTTTGCGTTGCCGCCCGTCGGCCGTGCGCTTAAGCTGTTTCTGACCTTTCCAGAAACAACGCGCGAGTTTGAGCGCAGGAGAGTCGATCAAGTTGAAGCTTGAAGCGCGTCGCGAGAAATCCCGGATGCCCCCTTTCACGCCGCCTCTTCGAGCAAGGAACTTAGCGGGCGGTCGTTTTGTGCGAAAGCCATCAAAAAGTTGACGTGCCGTGCGGCTTTGGTGCACGGAGGCTGAACGAGGACCGCGAGGATCATTTGAAGAGCCGCGATCAGAAAAAAGTGTCGCTCGCCAAAATCCCGCTTTGCTGGGCTCTGCGTGAAAGACGGCCACGGCTAGCCCAAGTGATTTCATTTCCAAAGGAAAAAGCGTCCCCCCTGGAAAGGAGCGCTTGCGCCATTCAGCCGCTCTTTTCATTTGGCTACCCGATTAAAGGAAATCAATACTACCTGGCTAGAGATGCAGGGCGGGGCTTATGAGTGACCTCATCCAAGCGAGGAGTCACGTGCCGCCTGAATGCTAACGGCGCTGCCCCCCCTGCCCACGCCAACGGGCGGCAAGGAAAGTGTTCAAAGACGAGAAAGAAGGCAGCAGCGAGCTAACTTTTACGTTAGGGATGTCAATTTTTTTTTTGGGGGGGGGCTGCAGGAAGTCTGCCATTTTGAAAAAAAAAACAAAAGATTTGAGTGACACAAAATTGCTAAAACTGCTTTTTGCTCTCACATTTGGGTGGAGCACAGCGGCAAAGTCGAATGATTGGGTGAGAAGTAGAGCCAGCCAATCACTGAGCCACGTCGGAGAGATTTTGTCCAATCGCGCCACGATTTCAAGCAGGCATCCCAGCCGCGGATGCCGCCGAGACAGTTCGACACGGCAGCCACTGAATCGGTCAATCACAGTCCGGTTTGGGGCCGCCGCAAAAAAATCAACGGTGAGGACTCCGGAGGGGGCAAGACATTTTTTTTTTCAAAATCTTTCGAGGATTTGCACACCGCAAGAACCAAGACGAGGGCACGGGCAAGTCCTCCTGGACCCCCCGCGCCCTGCCCACCACCTCTTCCGGCCACTCCCTTCAGGTAAGCGCTTTCAAACCACGCGCCGCAAAACCAGCAGACATTCAAACAGCTTCTTCCCTGTCGCCACGAACACTCAAATGTAGAGTGGCTCTTTGCGTAATTGCGCACCCCCCCGTGGAACAGGATTAGCGCACTGCTCCTCGGAGCTCCGGCTCTCTCCATACTTGAACGATTGGCATCGATCGACACGCCCACGACTGGTGCCTCGAAAAAAATGGTGCGACGATGATCGGCACCAACCGCACGACCGTTCTAAGTATCACGGCACTTTAGCTCTGCTCGCTGAGTCACACCACAGCTGTCGTCGGGTGCTACTATTTGCACAACGGTCCCCCCGCGCGTTTTCGGAAAGTCTTTCGATACTTGTCATGTCTTTGTTTATCGCAGTTGCCATAGCGGCATCGCCGAAACCACCGGAGACAATTTTTTTGCGTGTTCGACATACTCGGCCTCTCAAACATGATTCCGAAGACAGAAGCGCAAAATAATTAGATTGTTCTGAAGTAGCTGCGGCTAACATTCCGCGACCATCAGTCAACGCCGAGTGTATCAAATGGCACAGCTGTTGATTGGCGCGTTGATGCGAAGGGGGTGGGGGGGGGGGCGCGCATCGGGCTTTAATTGAACAAATGCACGCAAAATGCAAATGAGCGGCTTTCAATTTAAATGCAGATTTTGGCATTCAGGATGAGATCGGCGCCGCCTCGTCTTTCCATATTCATATTCCAATCAGCGTCGCGTCGACCGCCCGAGCACTAAATATCGAGTGACTCCGTACGGTGGGGAAGCAGTTCGGCTCCGCTGATTTCATCACGGTGAACGATTCGACGTTTCAAAGTGACAAGTGAGCACCTGGAGCGAAACGAGGAGAGGGGGCGGTGTCGCGCATCGTCAAGCTTAGCCTTTGATCTTTAGATGTGACAAGCCAGGAAAAAAATAAAATGCTCGGCGTCGGGGCATCATTTGTCCTAATTAAGAACATTTGGGAAGAGTCTTAGCAGAAACTCGCAGCGTGTCAACGTGTCGCCACGAAGCCTTGAACCGCTTCGCCGCACCCTGTCGGCGCTAATTGGTTCGAGCGTTTGCGGCGTAAAAGTCCAATTAGAAAGTCGAGGCCTCTCAATTTGTTGGGTGTTCTGCGCCCGCATGAGGATGCGAGCGCGTCTTTGAATTTAGCGCGAGCGTCAAATATGGAGATGAGGTCATCCATTCCGGTTTGTGAAAGGGACTTTTCGGGGCACGTTCTGCAACTTGGACAAATTCCGACTTGGGAAGCCAAAAGAAGGTCAATTCCAAAAGTTGGACTGCGAGCAGAGCAAATTCGACGTTTACGGTTCTTTGACGGATATCGCGGCAAAGACGGGCCCGCTAATTAGCTGGTGCCGAAGAATGGTTTTCACGAGCGGCCCCGGTCCGTGTTTACAGCTCGTTAAATGGGAAATAAAGCGGAAGAAGGGGGCCGCGGGCAATGAAAACGTTGGGCAACGGCAGCCTCGCCGCCACCAAGCCGGGCCGCGACCACCTCCCGGCGGACAGGTGGGTGGCTATGCGGCGTTGCCTCGGCGACCGCGGACATACGCTGCGGACAAACAAGACGCGCAAAGTGGGAGGGAAGCTTTCAGGCGGCATCAGAGTCAACAAGCTCTGGATTTGAAACTGCCGACTTTTCCCTTGGAAGGTTTTGAAGCGCGTGGAGAGAAAAAAAACGAACTAAACCATTTGCGCGGTTCGTCTTGTGTCGTCCCCATTAGCACGTTGGTGGCATTCCTTATTGCCGTGTTAGGATTAAACAAAGCGAATGTTGTCATGTTGATAGTGACCTTTTTGCATCGCTGCGCTGATATCTGCAGATATGCTCTGAAACAGGCGTTCCGTCTTTCGTTTCCTTTCTGAGTCATTCGGCTGACATTTTGGCGCACTTTGCTCATTGACTGCCTTCAACGTTTTTTTTTTTTTTTTGTCAACTGGAATCCAAACCTTCACTGCCATTGACGCATATAGCCGTCAGGTGTGCGTCCGTCAACAGGTAGGCATGGAGGAGGTCGTTTGTGAAATTCGGGTGTGTCAACTGCCGTCCCCGCACAATTTGCTGTTGCATCCTTCCGGATAGGAGATCAGCAGAGCCTTTGAATCAATAAATAAATAAATGAAACATGAGGCAGTAAACGAGCACCGGCAGATGAGTACAGGCACCCAACACTGGGTCTCTAAAGTGGTAAGGGGGGGGGTCTTGATTTGAGATTGACATCCGACATTGGTTTAATATCAGCCATAAAAATGGTATTGGATTATATGGGCCAACAGTCTAAATCTTTGCTATTTTTTTGTGTGGGGGGGGGGTAAAAAAAAAACGGAGGTCAATTATCATCATCATTGCTGCCAATATCGTAGCGGATAGATCACGGTATCGGACGATATTCGAGGCTGCAATTTTGCTATCTTATCAGAGGTGAGAAAGTGCAGCCAAAACACTCTAAAGCGATTGGCAAAGATGGGGGACGGCTTTGAAAACGGCAGGTGATGAATGAGTCAAAAATTGATCCTTGCTGGGCACTTTGAAAATTAAACAGACCAACTAAAAGAAAAAAAAAAAAAAAAAAGAAAAGAAAAAGGCATGCTCAAGCACATCGGCGTGCACTTTTAAGTGTCATAATTACGAAGATTGTTCCTCTCAGCAGTCCTTGACGATTATAAGTGCCACCTTGCTTGCAAAATGGAAATCAGGAGAACGAGCTCCAACCTGGAACGC